AAAAATAGATTTTTGTAGGGATTTTTGTTCGACTTTATGAGATTTTTTAAGAGCACCGAAACTACAAAATATGACAAATCAATGTATCTCTGTCTTTTTGTCGAAAATATCCATGTATTATTGTAGAAGGATTGACTAGCCTTTGTTCGTGCAATCATATAGACTGCAAATAACTATTATCTTATTTATCTTAATTTTTTTCTAATCACTTCCGGTGGCGCAATTTTTACTTCAAAAGCTCGTGCGTAGGCTTCCATTAAATGCTGATTATCTCGAAAACGGGACACCGTATTTTTCTTTCCAGATTTGGAATTAGCATTAAATTTCAATTCGGAAAATTGAAGTTTTAAAAAAAGCTTAAATCAATTTCCAAAAGTAGGCARTCACCTTAAGTGTATGCACATTTTAACACATTTCATATATTAATGAGTGTTTTAAAGATGATATCGAAACTGTTTGGATGCAAGTTTTTCATTCTGCAGTTGTCAATTTTACCTTTGCACTTATGCCATATTGAATAATTTAATATGATAATTAACATGGAAAGGACACAAAGGGGACTTGTCTCTAAATGGCCCTAGAATGGTCCCACTCATATACAAGTTATAGGAACAGACTTGTAGGAGCTTTCCAAAGAACCACAACAGTGCAAAGGAAGGAAAGGGTGGTAAAATAACRAAAAAGGGAGAAACCGCAGGTAGAGGGGAAGTACAGCAAGACCACTAAAGCACTCATAAGTGCATAAGATACCGCATGGCCTTAGTAGGTTGGAAGAGAAATGATCAGATACTCTAATAAGATTCTTATAATTATATATATGCAGTGGGACCAGTGGAGATAGTGTCAAACTACACACTAAACCATTCATCATCACCACTTATCATCATTGCTGCGGTAATTAACACCATCATTACTGCCATGATTACCATCAACCATCAACCACCCCAACATTACTACCATCACCCACCACGACATCACTACCAGCATTGCCATCACCTACCACAACATTACCATCACGCACCACAACATCACTGTTGAAGGAGACTATTGTGCGATTCAGCAGGAATTTATTTACACTGGTTTATGGGAGTTAATATATATATATTTAGGCACTGCCTAAAAGCGGAGTCGTACGGACACCGTACATAAGTACGTATGTACGTATGTACAGACGGAAGTGACGTAGTACATAGTCAAGCCATGAAAAATAAACTTGATGGTTTACCATTTTGTCTTAAGTATGGTGCTTCGCGGGAGCTCCGCTATATTCAATTGTGATAAAAGAGGTTTCAGAAGTGGGAAAAATTTGTCATAGGAATGCAGGATGTTGAATATCCCTTCACCTGGACAAAAGGGTAACCCAATCATACTGATAGGCCCTCTCATACCACTAGGGTTACAGTGTTACAATAGATTTAACGCCAGCGAGACCGTTGTGCCCGCGGACATTTGTGCCTGTCATGCGCGCGCGCCCGCGCCAGTGACGCCTGTTCATTACTGTTGTTATTGGTCGGCCATCTTGCGACTACGTTTCATTATTAAAGCTTGTTCATTCGTTTACGTCGTTCGTCGTGTTCACTGGCGTAAGATGGAAACATGTAGAAGCGGAGTTAGCCCTATTACTAAAGGTTAAAATCTAATGATGGGATTACCATTGCTTTTTGTAAACAGACCTGAAATTTTTGTCCATCACAGGTTGTTGTATGGAGGAGATTTAACGAATTTAAGAAACTTCAGAAGGATCTTTTGAAACTTTATAATCCAAAACTTSAGGAAGTCCAATTCCCTTGTCTCCCAAAAGCAACCTTCTTTGGTATGTACACTTATTAATATATTTAAATAATTTAATTCCTTAAAATTATTCAATAATTTAATGTCTTTCATTGGAGGAAACTTACGAGGAGTTCACTTGCGTGCAAAATATAGTATCAGAGACCTGTTCTGGAGTAAATTGCACATAAGCCATGCAGGATTAAAAAACCTCCATTATTTTTCTGGGATATTGGTATTCTTACATGTTGTTACGACGGTGTTGAAGCACAAACGCAAAAAAATAAGCTGAAACATTGAAATTTTGCTATTTTCCTTGAAAAGAGYCTGGGTCCAAGTTCGTTTCCATAGCAACATACCAAACTGATTGCTTTATCCTGCGCTGTAGTCAACACACATTTTAGTCATTTTGGTCTAATTATTGCCATTGATCCCCATGTACTCTTACCACCCTTTTACCCCCACTTCAATGTTGTTGTACATTATATTGGATTTTTTTTGGCGTTTAATTTTGCCTAGTATATCATTAAGGGGTAATCGTATGGTTTCTTGTAAAATTAAGGATTAATTTCACTTGTGTATTATAGTTTTGAAATTGCCTGAGTTGCGAAGTCTTGTCCTTTCGCAACTCAGACAATTCCAAAACTTTGAAAGCACTTGTGATTTCACACGTGTGATTAAGAACCGTGTTTTAATCACACTTGTGAAATCGTACAATTTGCAATTGTGACGAATTAGGTTTTGGTGGGCGTCAATCAATGCGTTTCCATGACATTCCATAGGCAAGTGCCCTTAAAAGCTTTGTTTCTTCCGACAATGCTGGGAAACACTTTGATTAATGGAGTCCACCACCACTCTATTTTTTCTGCAAAAAATAACATTACATAACATGTAATTTCCATAACATTTTTTCTCCAAAATCAAAATCTTTTACAAATTGTCATTCAGGTATAAAGTGAAGGCATAGATATAAGGGATATAAGACTAATACTTATTAGTAGACTCTGATTCCATTGTCTTCTTTAGTGTCAATTTGAACCCTTATAAGTTCAATTAACAATTACTCTACCAGGGATTTTGGGGAACCAATGACTACATATAATTAGGAAAAAAATTAAAAATATATTTTCCCAGAAAATTTTTCTACTAAATAACACCTCATTGATACATCTTCAAGCAGCTGTTTTTGTTATTACTACCAAATAGACAAAAAACTAGAAAACTCCAGTGAATTTAGCCCTCAGTCTCTATTATTGCACTATATCAAATTTGTACAAATAATATACCTCCTATAATATATCTTTAATAATTACTTGTGTAAAGTAATATGACACTATAAAGACCAATAAAGACAATCAATCAAAGCTTTTCTCAATACAATGTTATTGTTACCTAAAAGCCAGCAAACAGAGAAAGTCAATTCTGCCTTTTTACAACTGTATAATATGAATACATCATTAATTAATTGGAGATAATTTAAAAGAATCTGCAATCGATCATTTGCAAGATAGATGAACAAAAGGGTAAAAAAATTCTAAAGCCTATCACTCAATCAGAAAATATATACTCATATAATCATTTTGGCACAATAGTTATAGTTATTATAACTCAAAATAAATACACTGTAATATCAACGAGTTTTCCATTGAATGACTATGTTTTTGAAAGCTAAAACTTTGGTCTCAAAACTAAAGCATACGACAAAAATCATCGCAGTAAGTGAAGGATTATTTCTGTTTTGAACTGAAAATAATACGTTGAAGTGCATTGTGTAGCAATTTATTTGAACAATTTAGAACTGAAACAAGGTCACAACCTCAATACACAATCCGCTATTGATCTTTTCCTTTTTAATATAAATATATTTCACAATTTTCCAAAAACGCAAAACAGAACTATGCTTAGGGACTGGTCAGAAATTAGCAGTGGGGAGATTTGAAATTGAGCGCCAAAAATGTGACCCTCCCTAGCAATAGGAATGAAATTTTCTGCCCCTCCCCTTGAGCTTGGCTAAAAATATCATGACCCTCCCCCGAGACATACCTCCCCAACAAACAAATATAACATATGTGAACAAACATATATCCAGAAACCCCAATATATTTATAAACCTAGGAAATGAGAACAGATTTTTGCGCGTTAGAAGTTTATTTTAAATGATATATGAGCGTATGAGCGTCTTTCCTTGATATCAAGCAACATCTGCCTTAAACCATGAATAAGAATAATGGCGTTGATGATAGCAGTGTTGCTGTGTTGCCGAGCAGTATGTGTTCTTGCTAGAGTCAACTTTGCATTTATTTGTTTAATATATCCCCTCTTACTCTTGTAAACAAATAAATCGAGGGGTTCTTTTGAAGGGAAGAGTATGGGTGCTGACTGCTGAAAGCGAGACCATATAGGGAGGTTTAGGAACATGCCCCCTTCCCCCATGAGAAATTATAAAATTAAGACCCTCGGAAATTCGCTTTCCAGTGTTTTGAGAGGCATCTCCAAGAGCATAAATTTATGTGACCCTTTTTTCACTGTCTGTTTTTTATAACGCTCCCTTTTTCACAGGGGCTCAAAAAGTTACGACCCTTCCCCATTTTCCACCCCTCTGTCCCCTGCTAATTTTTGACCACTCCGTTAGTTAATTATATTATCGATTCTACTAACATTTTACAGCAAAACAACCTGTCCGGCAAAAATGGTTTTCCAAAGAGCAAATGCTCATTTTCAGTTCTTTGTTTGATCTATGTTAAGTTTATGTTCAAACCTTGAAAGTGGCAAAAAATAAAGTTTCTTTAGTCCTTTTGATGTCCTCGAAAAACCACAAAGTTCAGAGAATCTTTTTCTTTAAAAAAAAACTTCTTTCAAAATTAAGTTTCACGGTATGGTAACAGGAGGGAATTTTGCATGCGCACGCGCCGAAATGCTTGACTGAACAGGAATRCATAGCCAGATGAGCAAGAATACTGCATTGTTTACCTATTTAATCTAATATTTTTACCTAAATTACCAGTGCTATAAACATCATAAAATAAGATACGACTAGTTCATCTAATATGATGAAAAAAGAGATKAGTTTTCTTGACAGAATGGACTTTTTAGCGCGAAGAAAACACTGCAAAAGTGTCATGGCTGCATTCGTTGTCCATACAACACAAGTAAAATACTCTCAAATATTCAGTGCCAGAGGTACATCGTATAGATATGGATACACATGGCAAGAGTTTATTAATAATTATAATATCTTGGCAAACCCTTACTGTGATCGACATTTTGTATATATACAAAAAGTATCCTTATTCTATATCAAATCACTTACATGTTTAAATTTTAGTAAATATTCGAGTAGCCATCACTCTAAAACTAGACGCCACCTTCTGTGTTGGTTTTTTATTACCAGAAATCCTTCTTCATTCGAAACATACAGGTTATTTCAGAGAGAAAAATCGGCTTCAAGGTGTATTTACATTGTTTTTTGGGGGGAGTTTGAAGCCTATGCACAGGGAGCCCGGCTTTAGAATTTGTACATGAATAAAAAAAATCAATAAGTGTTTTATTGGGATTCCTGTGTTTAGAATTTGTTCATGAATAAAAAAAATCAGTAAGTGCTTTATTGGGTTTCCTGTGTTTAGAATTTGTTCATGAATAAAAAAAATCAGTAAGTGCTTTAATGGGTTTCCTGTGTCATTTGAGATTTGAAACAAGACGCTGATACGTTGAATTTCCGGTAATCGTACTAACCCGTAACTTGATAGCAGATTAACGTAACGTGATAGCAGGAGTAATGTAAGTAACTCGAGAGCAGCTCATAATTCAAATTTAACGTATTAGTGTAACGTACTCTCTAGTAAGTGGACCATTTACTAGGACGTGCGTTACACTGATACGTTACGTTAATCTGCTATCAAGTTACTGGTTAGTACGATTACCGGAAATTCAACGTATCAGCGTCTTGTTTAGGTGTTGCTAAACCCCGAAACAGCGAAACACCGAAACACCGAAACAGTACCAAAACGAAACACCAGTGTACAAATACTTTTCAATATAATAGTTAAAAGTAGTAGATTAATGAATCTTTTGATTTTGAGAGCAACTGACATCATTTAAGACCAGTTTACAATGTTTTAAGAATCGTATATCTGGAAAGTTTTATGTCATCACCTTGCACACATTGCGGGCGGCCACACGGGAGCCTGGCTTTATATTGCTGGTGGTGATGGATATGATGCAAAAGTTACTCTGTTTGCGGTGGCTCGATCAATCCAAAGACGAAAACACGGGGAGGGATGGGACGTCAGAAATTGTCAAACCACCCATGGATATCAAGCTATTGGATACCGCTATTCACTACTTCTTATAGCGTGTTCATACTTTTCGTTTCTACTGTGCCGGCCGTATTTATTGCATCTTTATAAAGTTTGAAGCATATAATTTAGTGTATTATAACTATGAGCTACGCCGAAGTAACCGCTGGGTACAAGTCCGTTAAGGAAAGTACAGCTAAAGTCGACTACTCTGCGTTCCAGCAAGGCACCGAAGATGATGCCCTGGCAATTGCAATTAGCAGCGCAATATTGAAGCAAAACTACAGAATAAATTCAAAGTGAACGTTGATATCAAGAGAGAGTTGACAAAAAAATATCACGACAAACTAAAATACCATGGAAAATATAAATTATTTTTCTATAAGTTTTTTTTTCGATTTATACATATATTTAGCAGGTTTGTGTAGTTTGAATCATAAATATTGAACAATGATTTAAGCTTTTTACCGCGCTCGAATCACGGGACATTTGCTTTGGACGAATCACGTAAAAC